TAAATCGTACTTTGTAAACTATGCTGGTGTAATATTGATAGAGAGACAACAAGGGATGTTTGCTATGTCTGCTTTATTGTAGTTATTATCGATTGTTAATAAATCTTCAAATTGTATAAGCTGCGCTCGTCGTTCCGCGCCCAACTGTATTTCTTGCATTTGAGGCAGCGTTCACAACGGGTAAACAAAAATTGTATGAGGATTGAAATTAAGTTGCAGTGCAAGCATACATGCCTATATGTACTCGTATATAGCACTAGTAAATACAGTATATGCCTGTTACAAGCGTAGGTGATACCGACACATGAGGAGAGTCACTTGGTAGTTTGAAACTTACAATATATCTTAAAAAAACCTGATCAATGCTGCTCAGAGCATTTTAGTCTTGTTAAGTTTTTACTACTTAAACAGAAACTATGCATGAAGAGAGTAACTACATGGTGGATTAAATTGTTTTAAAAGTTGCATAGTTAATGTTAAATACACAGATTAATACATAATAAAAACATATAATATATCTATTATACGTCAACACATCGGTACAGGTCGGCTCTACCGGAGTAATTACAAAGGGCCCACAGACTTATAAAAAGTTTGCCTTTGAATAACCACCAAGATTTATAGATTTTATCGATGTTCACATATCTAAACCAACAATAAATAAACTGAACTACATCCTTATCTATCAAAAAAAATGACGTCCTGTTTTATCGATTGAAGTAAGTTGACGGACAAGCCCTAGACCCAAGACTTAGCAGTCATGTCTGTACACTCATTTTCCACGACATCATATTTTACACAGATCATCATTACTTAGTAGTCTCTCTCCAATGTTCGCATTACATCATAATTATTTGTTACCTAACTTTGTTTTCTTACTATTATTAAAACATTTTCTTACCTTTATACGTACAGAATAAGAAAAAACGTATACGTTCAGAATAAGACTGGCATCTTGCTTATTCGGTAAACAAATACTTACTTGAATGACTCATAAAATGTTGAAATAAAACATCTTGAGAAAACGCATTAACGTTCTTAAGATAGTAATAAGTTTACCCCAACCAGTCGCATTCACGAAATCTTGAAACCTGCAATGTTTACTGGAATTAACAACAACGTGTAGAAAATCCAGTAGATGGATAATTTGGTATTGCATCTTAAGCCTACATTTTTAAAGAATAGTATAATGTCCTCCAGATGTCTGACAGATACATCTATACTAATATTATAAAGCTGAAGAGTTTGTTTGTTTGTTTGTTTGTTTGTTTGTTTGAACGCGCTAATCTCAGGAACTACTGGTCCGATTTGAAAAATTCTTTCAGTGTTAGATAGCCCATTTATCGAGGAAGGCTATAGGCTATATATCATCACGCTAAGACCAATAGGAGCGGAACACCAATGAAGAATGTTTCAAAAACAGAGAAAATTTATTACTATTGAGAGACGCAGACGAAGTTGCGCGGGTCAGCTAGTAAGTGATATACACAGGTCACTACTTAAAATATACTTAGTGCAGATAATTAAATTAGCTAATATGTACTCGTATAATTTAAGCAAAATATCTTGTTTGCTGCAATGCAAGCTAGTTTGATGTTTTTGAACAATGGTATTCTAGTGGTATGCCTTTGTCTGTATTGTATATAGAACAAACACCTCGTAACTCAAAGTTAGAGATGTCTGGTGTTAAAATTATACCTACTTTGATGTAACTTACGAGTATTAGAGTATGAAGGTATATATTTAAATAAAATTATGGTCATCTACAGTTTTATCATTTTTATGCAAAGAAGCCGGGGGCTATAAATAATTAATATAATAAATATTCTACATTCTACACCAAAAGGATACACATACAGATTTATTTATAGGTACCTACTCGAAATGGGTCCCCCCTTTATAGCAGAACTTTTTATGTCATAATATTATTTTGCATAACAACAGATAGCTTAAACTACATTTCGCAGAAAATCGTTTGGCAGACACTCATTTATCATACATTCAAAACTCATAATTCTGTAAGTCATAATCATCTTAAGGCCTTAAGACATAAACTTCATATCCATAATAATTAAAAAGTAGAACCATCATATCGCCGAAACTTCATAGTCAGAATCTTCTTTGAGCATACATTCCATATGGATAGTCATTAAAATGCAGAACTATCATATCTCAGAAAGTTTACAGTGAGAATCATCTTTTGGCATATATTTCATATCTATAACAATTGAAAGACTATCTATCCATCATTTTGTATTTCTTCCCATAAAATTAATTGATTCAAAACATATTTTTTCGCGACGGACATACTACGATAATGTTTATTATTATATATTATCATATTAATCAGGCGTTAATCAAATCAATTTTATTTTTGCTATAGTAGGTAGTTATTAATAGTTGTCATATCTTTTTGTCGTGCTGAGCAAAACAAAGGTAAAGTATAGTAAATGTGGAAAATTTAGAAGAAAGTAATTTAAAAGTGTTCACATCAAGCAGAGGTGGAATTAAATTAGAAATGGATGGATTCATTTACGAAAAAAATAAAGTGCAATTTGATAAATATTATTGGTTGTGTGAAATAAGACGGAACAAAAAATATAATTGTAATGTAAGCATAATATAACAGAGAAAGTAACATGCATACATTGATAAGCAAAAAATACTCAACCATAATTATGATCCTGATGTTATAAAGTCAAAAGTCGCAAACATTGTAAATATAATTAAAGAAGAACCCACTTATTACATCGGGAAAAGACCAAATCAGATACTAAACGATTGCTTCTCTACAACGTCAGAAGTGATTTCAGCAGATTTACCAACGTACCAATGGTACCAATGGTATTTGCACTCATGACTAATAAGGCTATAGCTATGATACATTTATTGAAATGTTATTGGAATGTTGTACACTAGCTCGTCCGTGTGGTGACGGATTAAGAATACAGAGTGTCACCACCCCTATTCATCCCGTGGGTGTCGTAAGAGACGACTAAGGGAGAAAACTACGCAGAACAACAGCACTGCAGAGAGAAGGAAAACTTGACAGAAACCCTATACCAACCCGTCTGGCCAGCGTGGTGTAGTAGGCCAAAACCTCCTTTCTAAGGAGAGGCTTATGTCCAGCAGTGGACTATTAAAGGCTGTTGATGTACACTAGCTTATATAATCCTATCACCCCGTTATATAATAATGGATTTTGAACAAGCGCCCCATAGTACTTTTAAAAATTAATAAGTTAAGTTAAATTAATACAAAAGATTTAATCGACCAAGATATCCCTAGAACACAAAACTATGCTGAGTTGTATGCAGAATAAATAGCAAAGTCAGCGCAAATCATGTGGGATTCTATAATATATCAAATCTCAAATCAATTGATAAACTAGGTACGGGCGCCCCAGTACCTTCCAGCAAAAAGAAATAAGTTTGGAATGCAAACAAGCATACACCATTCATGCAGGCAAGCACGCAGCATACAAGCAGGAATGCATGCGACCGCCTCAACCGCGGCGGCGAGCGTTAAAATCACTTCAGCTCGCGGACCGCCTCGTTCCTGCGTGCCTACGCGGCCTTAAATTACATTCTAGGGGTAGGGCAGGCAAGACTACGTGGAGTTTCTGTCACAAACTTTTGTGGCAAGACATGACTTTTTAAGATAATATTTTAATTTAAGGTTAAAAATGCTATTTTATGGCAATGAAATTGGTCCAAATAATCGTCGCTCTAAATAAACGTTATGCTAAACGAAATTATGCGGAATTTTAACTCTGCCAAAGGTGATTATGTAAATAAAATTATGCCATCTTAAAAGTATGCCATTGCAAAATTCGGACATATAAACATTCAGAAATATAAACATTCGGCCAAACATTAATTGTACTCAATATTTTTTATGCCTATTTTACATATTCGTTTAAAGAATTTTCTGCCAAGTGTGTTATGCGAAATAAATTTCGGAGTATCAAGATTCTGCATCATAGAGGGAACTCACTCGAAATTCGTAATGATAGTCCAAAAGTCAGAATTAGAATTTTTAGATAACATTTATGCACACTTGAGTGGTTTGACATAACGTGCTTAGTTATTCAAGAGGCCAAAAAGACTGAAGGAAAACTATCTATTCAATTTCGAAATTTTCATAAAACCAAATCACAAATTACGAAAGAAATAGCTGTTTTTTATTAGATCATTAACTCTGACATTCACAACCCATTAGAGATAAGACGACATTTGTTCTTTCTTCATATCAGTGTTTAACCGTTGCAAAAATTTAGAGAAAAGTTGCATATTATTGATCTCAGGCGAGGAAAGGGCGGGCGATGGGCGGCGGCGCGCGACGCGCGTGCTCGTCGAGCTAGCCGACACAAGCAGAGCCGTCGCCGCGCTGCCGCCCGCCGCCCCGGCTGGCGCCCTTCATGACACTTCACTCGCTGTCACAAAAACGTGTTACCGATGGCCTAAATTAACTTCGTTAGATGGTCGTTATTCCGACTCCGATTCGAAATAAATAACGAGGTGCAAACCTTTTAGCGGCCCGCCCGACGGAGCGCGTTGCGTGTGTACTAACGATACAAACTCGTGCTCAACTATTATAGTGACAGCAAGTTTTCAACAGTTTGTAATATTTCATAACATCATAAAACTTTAATAAAAGCATTCCTAATGCTCGTTATTTGAAAACAATGAAAGTTCAGGAACTGTTCTATGACAGACGAATCGCGATCGTATGGCTACGTCAGAGGAACTGGAATAGATTCACGTACGCCGAGCGAGAAATTAAAGTATAAACAAATGTATTCCGAAGCGAGCGCCATAATAATGTAACAGCAGTCGGCATCAGGAGGTGTCAAGGGGTAGACACGGGCGGCGTGACCCGGCACGGCACGGGCCGCGGCGCATCACCAGAACTGGGCCATATCAATAAGCGTGTCCCACTTACCTGGATTTGCGGCAGAGACGGCGCGCGGTGCATTGTGTCGGAGGTCGCCGAGGGTGATGTCGGGCAAGTCGTTCACATCAGGCAGCGTTCGCTCGTGCGGCGGATCCGTGCGGCTTGGCACGGTAGCGGGCCATGAGGTAGTCCTGGATGCTCTGTACGAGCGCAAGCGCGACAAGAAGACCGTGCGCGTGCTCACTGTCATCGTGTATGTGTTCTGCGTGTCGCTAGCCGCGATCATGCTATCGCTGTACTACGTATTCTTCTGGGAGCCCAAGGACGCGCAGTACGCGCAACGCAAGGTGTTTCACAAAGTAGACCAGCAAACCAGCACTACACCACTGCCCACATGCTTTATGCCCCTCACCGGTACGTCACACAACCGCCACGCTTCCCTCTTGCCACTCTAACTCTCTTGTTAAACTGGTCTCGTACAGTTGATAACATTTGCGAGCAGTTTAAACCCATTTTACTTGAGTGTTTTTGTATTTCCTGCTTTATAGTATATAGAACATGACTAACTAAAGTTTTAATTTAACAGGTGTAGGTTAGTTCTCTATAATACTACGTTCAACATCTGTCACAAGATATATGAACTAACACACATACATATCTGTATTTAATCACGACAGATGCTTTCTTAGTCTACTAAGAGAAATACATAATAAGTCATATTTATAATTTTAATTGGATATACTACTGAAGTAATTTAAATGTAATTCGTGTTTGAGTATTCTCCATTATTCTCTAAAAGTCAATGTCTCGATAAGGTAAATAAAGTTTCATTTTACTCATAATGAGAGGTAGAGTAGAGAACTTTATAGAGCATTTTGATAACGTCCAAGGGACCAAATGAAAATACAAAATTGAAACCTATACTTTTTCGAAGCTATGTGATAGGTACTTGTAGACAAGGTACCTTGCAGTAGTCCCTATACCCTGCACTCAGGGCCTTGCAAAGTTTAAACAGCGTTGCCGTCTTTAGGGACATTTTTTGCCGAAGTTTATAGGACACATAAATAAATTTTGTCAGCGTCGTATAATCATAAGTATCAGTCGGTGCGAAGTGACAGTAGGTAAGTAATACAATCGCGACGTGAAAAATACAATTGCTATGATTGAAATTTTTTTTGGATAAAAGTTTGGTTAAGAAATTCCAAGAAGTATCACCGATTCTATAAATATATAAGCAGTACTAATACAATTGTACGCTATGTTATAAAAATTTAGCGCCACTTTAGAAAGTTGTTTATATTAGAACATAAACACTCAATGTATCTATTTTTATTTTAGAAGTAGATAACTATGACAATTATTAATCGGTATAAACGCATTTTGTTGTATTATGTTCTAAGTCTAATATCGAAATAACCTACACATGGTTAAACTAAACCATAAACCAAGAACCTATTTTTACTTCTAAAACCCCATTTTAATTTTAAACATTCTATGATTCATACGATTTCTCAATTTTTAAGTAGTACCCCAATGACAATAACCATGACAGCATTAAGAAAATAAATAATAAAAAGAATGCAGCTGTTAATACGGTATTTAGAAGATGTCTAAATTCGTTTTAAACACCGTACTGTGCGAAAGGACATACCTAAGAGAATGGCAGTGCCCCTGCCAAGTAATACTCATAGTGAGCACTAACAATACTTTATATTGTCCGTGTCAATAAAAGATATACCTATTTGTGTCGTTACTAAATGTCATGCGTTATTGTGTCCCTATTCGTGTCTCGGCAATCGCACGCGTCAATTTTTCTGTAAGCATAAAGGCACATAAGCGATAAGTTGAATCAAAAATGATGAAAATAATATACTATTCTAATGTTCTTAGTCTCTGATGTAAAATTGGATATTTCTAGATATGACATTGCCGCTTCCTGCTGTCGATTACTGATATACACGATTAAAAAGGTCACTCTTGGTTAAAGAAGTATTTCACCGTCTATGTGAATGCAGTCACTAGTAGGTGGGGTGTATTAGTTGCGGTATAAGTGGTTACTTCATCTTTACCATAGATTTTACAGAGCAGGTACAAAATACAGGGTCTTGCTACTTTGGCCACCAAGAGCCTTAGAAAATTTACGCTTTCCTCATTTCCTCTACGAGACTAGTTTCGCATATTGTACAGAGGGTTAAAATGCTATTAAAATCGTCTATAATCAAATTATGATATTTTAAAAATATACGATCTTTGTAAGCGTCTAAAACAAATACATCATAAACTGCCACGCCCTACTAACCATCATGAAAACATTCTTAACATGAATATCTGCGAAGGATGTAAAGCAAATTAAATCAAATGATCTCTTAAATCCACACTGGACCTTCACTTTATAAAAGACCGTTGTTTATTAGCAACATTAGCAATAGGCCTGTTGTTGACCAATTCATGTATAAATAGTCTGTGTATCCGCACCTAGAAGACAACAATAACAAAACAAGACACAATTAATAAGTCATCATAGACATTGTCAGGCTGTCAATGGACTTCGTGAATTAGCACTTTCAATGTACTATTTTTTCTACTTGCTGTTTACATAGTCACGATTTTAAATTATTTTTTAGTGTTGATTCCTTAAGTGATATCCAATGGGTGAGCATTTTTTCACATAACTTTTTAAGTCCTATAATCGGAAGTCCGAAAATATTTCTCATATCATTTTATATCATAATGATCACTCTTTATAAAAATATTTAATACTAACGCTCGAAACTCATAATCATCAGAATTCATTATATCACTAATAATCCACCTTTTTTTTTCCGTGCGAAAATCCCCTCGGATACCACCTGTCGGTACCATGTCGGACTCGAACCGACTAAAACCGCACGCCGTCTCTGGTACTAATAGCCGGGGAACCAGGTATACCCTAGAAAGGAAGTCCCTGGTCCCCTGACATACCTCGGACCATCTACAACAACAGGTAGACGACCCCCCCCCCGTGTGGGAACCCCATGTTCCCTCTGCTCCCTGCGCGCTTCGCAACGCGCTCGCCGCCACCCCGGTCTGCTTTTGCTAGGGTGACAGATGGCCTCATCTGTCACTCCCAGGCCTGCGCTTATGAAGGACGGAGGTCGTTCTTCGACCTCCGGCGCCTAAGTCGCCTGCGGTACCTGGCCCGTTCCCGGGCCTGGCGGGCCGGGAGAGTCCTAAACCTCTCCCGGTCCCGCTCCGCGCCGTCTCCTTCGCGAGTATAACTTGCTCGCAGAAGGAGACTGCAGAGTTCCACTCTGCCAGCGTGTGTCATAGATTTTTTATAATATTTGTCCAGGAAAAACATTTTGTTTACAAATTTATTTATTTTTCCTATTATTAACCATCTGCTTCGGCCCAGTGTGTTAAATTAACTACAATTTTAGTCATTGACATTAGAAAACAATTTATCAACTACACAAAAACAGTAAAAAAAGCATAATATAAAAGATATAATTAAAAAAAAATGGATTAGGCAAAATTTCGTCAATTTTTTTAAAAAGTCTTAAAAGTCCAGTTACTTGAAAATGGTTATTTTTGGGATATGGTATTTCATAGTGAAATCTATCAGAAATGATGGCAACTACAACCCCTTAAAGTATTTAGGTCGACTTACCCAGTAACCCTGTATATATATTATATACATATATTATATATATTTACACAGATTTAATAAGCAAGTAGAACTATGCATTTAGTACTTAAAACTTAAGGTTACTAAAACAATATAACTTAAGTATCATACAAGTGATATAAATAAATGGCTAGAATGAATTGCTGAATTAAGTACTAAGGACTAACATAACTAGTTCTTGTAAAAGTATTTCTGTTCACACTTTGTTTTATAACAGGATAAACAGGTAGTTGTGGCCATTTTTAATTTTGTATATCATATATTATAAATGTTCATTTTCAGGGAAGCATGTTAACAGCTATAGTCGTAAATTTTACGAGATTTTAAATAGGTAGTAAATAACTAAGTATATTTATAGCTTCTAAAGCATCACCAGAGCTCATTCGAAACACATCGTTAACTGTAATTTAATAAGTTTAGCATAAATAGTCACTAATAAATTACAAATTATTGTGGATACTGTGAATGAGACAATTGTTTTGAATTTTAATAGACGTTTAAACTAAAATATAAAGTATATATAGGCCAATAACTATAGTAAATTCTTGGGTTCATGTTCATTAAAGAAACTGCAAGAACATTTTTGCTTATTTTACCAGCATTCTTACATGCCTTACTCAGATGCTAAAAATATTTGTCTGTAACTGTATACGAGTATTGTACATGTACACAAACAGAAGAAGATACAAGCTTCTTGCATTCGACTTCATCTGTAATATGTAATGTAAATGTACATTTGTATAATATTTTATTTATTTATTTAACACTTAAACGATGTAGGTACATCATAACATCAATGGTTGTTGGTACTGTAAAACCACTAAGGTTTATATTAAGTACCGTTACTTCGTCCGTAGTCCGTGTGAAGACGGATTAAGAGTCCGTGTGGTGACGGATTAAGAATACAGAGTGTCACCACCCCTATTCATCCCGTGGGTGTCGTAAGAGCCGACAAAGGGAAAAAACTACGCAGAGCAACAACACTGCAGAGACAAGGAAAACTTGACACAAACCCTTTTTTTTTTTTTATCGTGTGGAAATCCCCTCGGACCGTCACCCCACCGGGGTTTGCGGCGGGGTGGTGTGTCGGACTCGGACCGACTAAAACCACACGGTGTGCCACTCTGCGCCTGTAATAGGAGGGATCCGGGAACAGCTGTTATTAAGACATCCGGACCCCTCCTAGCGCCTGCCCGCTCCTGGTGCGGGCTCCGTCTCAAAATTTTAACCTCTCTTTAGGCGACGTCCGGCACACGCGGACGCCGCCCCCTCGCGGCTGGCCAAACTAACTTGACACAAACCCTATACCAACCCGTCTGGCCAGCGTGGTATAGTAGGCCAAACCCTCCTTTCTAAGGAGAGACTTGTGTCCAGCAGTGGACAATTAAAGGCTGTTGATGTGACCGTTAGTTTAAGTTTAGAAAATAGGCATACATACGAGTATAGTGTTTGAGTGATACATTTCGCTATTTTATACAAAAGTGGGTCATAAATAAAACATTCGGGCCATAGAAAAGTAATACTAGCTCAATACTCAATACACCTGAGTTTATTTTTAACATTATTCTGGTTGAGGTTGGCACGTAAATCAGTAGGTAGTTTGTTAATCAAACGAGGAAGAAGGGTGGCTGTCGTTTTTTCGCCATACATATTGTTAGCGCGCTTTGTCCATAACTGGTTTCGGGCTACCGCAAGCGTGTATACAGTGTTCAATTTCTTTTTTAATTTCTGCGCCATTTACACCCCA